CATATCATCCATATTAATGGATCACCTCCTCTGCCCCAGCCTCCTTGGAATTGTGCCCAGCAGGATGTCAGGGCCATCTCTCCTCCTTCCCAATGTCAGCAAAAGCTGAGCCTGGCTGGCCTAGTCCCTCTGGGGTGTGGAGCTCACCAAGGGCCCTGTTTCCTGATTCTGCAGCTACCACTGGTGTCTGTCTTGAAGGGATATTTCCAGGTTCTTGGCAATTTGTGCAAAGAATTAAAGAAGCTGATGCAGAAAAGGGGTTTTGTTCAGAAAAATGCAAGAATGCCTGTTAGAGATACTGCAAAAGCATGAGATTCCCTGAGCTCCTCGCTAACAGCCTGCGTGTTCCTTAGGAGTCAGGTGCTGGGGGCAGGGATAGATGGTCTTCTGGTGTTAATGGATACGTTGAGATTATATAAGTCCTGTGCAAGTCCTTTGAATTTTCAATTCTATTTTCACACCTAATCAAGCACAGCTGTAAGAGGGTAAATAGGAGGTTTTCTCCCAGGATTTTGCTCAGAGGAGCAAAATTTTGTTCGTTTTATTGTGCATATACCCCAACCCAGTTTTGGCTGGATATACCCAGATCCTTAATTTTAGGGTATGTTTTTAGGATGTGTTTGTTTACCAAGAAGAGTTACTAAGGTGTTGATAAGAGAGGAAGGATCTGTTGTATTGTTTGGGGCAGGGTGATGCTCAGCTTAGTGTGGATGGGGATCCTGGGTTCCTATGTGCTTTGTTAAGAAAAAGATGTGTGTGTTTGTATACATTTGCAAATGTGTGTATGTGTGTGTGTGTTTGTATATTTGTGTCTATGTTTGTATTGTGTATTTATGAGTGTATGTTTGTATATGTGTGTATTTGTGTGTTTGTATGTGTGTGTACCTTTGTCTGTGTGTGTGTGTGTGTGTGTGTGTGTAGTTCAAATCAAGAGAACTACTAATCCCACCTCCCCTCCCCCTCCTCAATTCTGAAGAAAGATGTCCGTCTTCTCAAAGCTGCTTCCTGCTGGGACAGGCCACAGGAACAAGTAAGACAGAAATAGTCTCTCCAATCTTTTGCAAAAGTCATGTTGTTCCCAGGGTTCCACTGAGGAGGCTCCATGCAATTTCTCAGCCAAACAGGTGTCTCTGTTGATCCTAATGGCAGCAGCTGTTAGTGTACCATTTATAATTGGACTTGTTGCATTCTGGGAGAAATAAACTGTGTGGGCTTATTAAGAAGAGGAATTCCAAAGGCAAAACCAACCAACCAAACAACCAAACAACCAACCAACCAACCAAAGCAGTGCCCCATCCCAAACAAACAAAGCAAACCAACCAGGGACACAATGGGTACCAACAAAGGGGCTGGTAATTCCAGATCATTCGTTTTGCCTGATTTTAGAAGCACTCACCCAGTGCTTCTAAACAAGGCTGCTCCAAACAAGGGTGATGCCTAGCAGGTGGTTTAAGGTGGAGTGTGCACAACTGTGAAATACTTTGTTGTTCTGGCCCATAAAGCAGCTCCTGGAGACTTGAGACTTCAACTTCATTAAAAAGCAAATGTGTGGGGCAGGGACTCCACAAACCTTAAACCTTGTTCAGCCTGTGTGTCCTAATTTATTCTTTTTAAGTTAAAGAGAACTAGCCCAGGAGTGTGGGCTGAAACCTGTTTAGCTCCTACTCTCTCCCCTCTTTGAGCCTCTGTTTCCCCATTATAGAAATGGATTAAGGATGATCGGCTTTCCTAAATCACTTTGGTGGGAAATGAACATTTAAAGAGAAACAACTGTTGTTCTCTGAGTTCCTACTGAAAGCAGACATTGGCGTGTGTCCCTGCTGTAGGGCAAGTAGGGGCATCAGGAATCCAGGAATGAATTATTAGAAAAGACTGAACTAAGGGTAGGGGTGTAGCTCGGTGTTAGGGAACACACCTACAGCAGAGCTTCCTAGGTTCATCCCCAGCACCACAAACAACAGCTGAACTAGAAGGAAAAATATCTGAAATCTACTCCCAATCTGGTCCTATATTTGTGTAGCTGCATGAAAGTCTTCTCTACCTCTGTTTTCCTTAAGACTGAGTTTCAGCTTCCGCTTAGCCACAGATTCTCTGTCCTCTGACTTGATGTGGACCCAAGCATCTCTGGAGGAGACCAGAAGGTGACCTGACAAACTTTGCATTTTAGAGGAACAATGCCATGGACCTAATTAACATCACCATGGTATAAGTGGAGCTCACTTGACCTGTCAGGATAAATAAAGCAATAGTTTAATCTTAAGTGCCAGGAGAGAGTAAAAGAATCATTTATTCTATGCCATATTTTTGTGTACAGACCTGCTGTGGCTGCCCTAGAATGATAAGATGGTTTTTCTTGATTCCAGTGATGTGTATTAGAGACTGCTTGTCAAGAAGTTAAAGACTGGGACCCTGAATGGCTCTTGTAATGAACTCACATAGAAGTGTAGGCACAAGGGTGTAGATGCTGGGGTCTGACAGACCAGTTGAGAGTTCTTCCTGTCATCTTGTGGCTGTTGAGCTATCCTAATGGACCTCCCTTCCTGCATTTATATAATAGGATTAATTACTGCCTGTGTCAGGGGAAGATAGCAAGGAATAAATGGGATGATGTGAATAAAGTCCCCCATATACAACATGTCTCATGATTCTAATACTTAGTATTTCTGGTGGAGTCAGCCAAACCAACACCTTTGACACACTTGTGGTCCCTTATCACAGACGAATAATGAGGAGTCTTTTATCCACAGCAGGTTTACCTGCAGTATATTTTCATTATAATTCAGTTGCATTCATACATTCACTAGTGATGTCTACCATAGCAATTAGTAAGTTGTTTTTTCTTCTTCTCAAACTGTAGGCAGTGAGGCAAGGCACTGGGACAAGTAATTATTTGCTAAGCATCATCAGGAAACAGAAACAACAGAGAGGCAGAAGTAAGAACAGAAAGGGAATCCAGTAAAGTTTGTGCTACTAGCTAATCACCACTAGAGGATAGGGATCTCAAGACCCTTTAGGGATGCTCTTAGCAACATATAGAAAAGCACTTCTTATAATTGAGGGTTACCTCCTTGGTATAAATTACTTTTCAGCAAAACTGATCTCTGGTGTAGCTGATGATCCATTAGGTCAGTGGTACTGACCAAATGCATGGAACTGTCCACAATGCTGTGCTGAAGACAGGTAGATTGCTGTGTGGGCTGTATCTGCTATTCTTGGGAATGGAGGAGGGGGTCAGGGAGCATGAGCTTCTTGCTTTTGCCATGCGATGGCTGGGAAATTTAATAGGGTCAGTGTCGGAGTCAACATTGAACCCCAAGAATCAGGCACAGCCCTGCAGAGCTAAGCACCGTATTACATATTTACTTAGTAAAAGAAAGAATGGGTGAATGGGCAGATGTGGATGGGCAGGCATATGGATGGGTAGTAGACTTTCTCCTTCATGGTGTAAGAACGAAGTGTGTCTATAAATGGGGAGGTGATGCATGAAGGTTGAGCGCATATGAATTTTTACCTAGCGTAATCGATTTGGGGTAGGAACAGGTAAGTCAGATAGTTCTCAGGAGACATTAATCTAGACCCGGGTCAAAGGAACCATCAATACTGGACCTGCTGAAAACTTGGCAGATATGGTGCTCCAGCTTGGAATCAATATCACAAATAGGACCCAGAAGAGCAGCAGAGGTGACACTGTGGAGAAAAATCACCCGTGAGTGCAGAAGGAGAGGGGAGAGCCCAGAAGGACCAGGAGCCGGAAGCCAGCACTCAGAATTACTCCGATTTAGACACTTCTTAGGCCTCTGCAAAGCTCGTCCTGCTGAGGTCACTGACAGTGCAGGAGGCTGGGCTTCCGCCTGGCCAGAGCCTCTCATCAGAAAACAAGGCAAGTAAAAAACACACCATTAGAGATCTGGGGCGGAGTTTGTGTTTCAGCATCTTTTTTTTTTTTAAATTGTAGTTGAAATTTTAAAATGAATTTCTCTAGATAACATTTACTTTCTCATTAAAAGGTGTTTTTAGAAAACTTCAAAATTTCAAAATCAGATAAAAACATAAATAACTTCCTACTATAAAGAGATAAATGGCTTTTGTGTATTTTTGTATTTTCCACAAAGCCAGTTAGTTTTGCATTTGCACTTTTCCATGCTTTTCTTCGTGGTGCCCCCTGGTTAGACTGCACGATTGTAGCCTCTAAGCACATTTCTTCATTGTGGAAAGTGCTTTGAAAATACTGATTTTTACTTACAGTGAAATAGTCTTTCATACAGATAGATCCTAACTTATCTACCCATTCTCTTCTTGTTGGGCATGTATATCATTCTTCCTTTGTTCACTATTATAAATTAGAATGACATGGACGGAATTGTTTAACACCCTTTATGTGGCATATTTCCTTCACATTTCCCTACCAATCTGTGAGGTAGTTTCTTACACATACCCTCTTTCAACAAACGAGGAAACCAAGACCCAGAGAGGATGTTTTAAAAGATCACTGCTCTAGTTTGGATTCCCTGGAACAGATCTTGGATGAGGATCCAAGCGGGAGATATTTAAGAGTTCCCAAGAAGTGCTCTGCAGGAAAATGTAAACCTGCGGTAGGGAGGGAAACCACTGAAGTGTTCACTGTCGAACACGTTAACAGCCAAAGCTTAATTCCGCTGGGCCAGTGCAGAGTTCACATCTCAGTGTTAGCCAGCTGCAGACCAGGTATGTTTTCCCAAAGCCCAGTCTGAGCTTGCAGGGTGTTAATGTCTATCATTTCCTTTCTGTGGCACAGAGAGAGATGTGGTGTGTAGGGTGAGAGCGGGCCCTGGTGGCCACATCAGTGTAGGGCATCAGAAGTGGTCCAGCGTTCTCAACAGCAGTGAGTTCTAGGTGAGCCTGGAGACCTACAGAGAGAGTCACTCACTCAGCTAGCCACCGTCAGCCTGAGATTCAAACACAGAAGGGCTTTGCTGGAGATCCCAGGACTTTAGCGACCTGGCTTTGCACAGTGAAAGCCTCCCTGTGACCTTGGGCAAGTCTCCCTCCTGGGTCCGTGCTCCAGGATCTGATGAGGATAATAGTTCTGACAATGTCTGACTGGAAGCTTGGTCATGAGGGGCCGCGGAGTGGGTCTCTGGGCATTTGGGTTAAGTGCAAAGCCATCAATGGTTCAGCGTTACTCACCATTCCCATCAGGTGGGTGGGAATTATCTGGCAGACACGTGGCACTTTCTTGGGAATAGCTAATTAAAAGAAATGAAATAGAAAATGGGCCTGTTCCCTCAGTTTATGAGATGAGGTTTTTTCAGATCAATTACACAATATACAAGATACACACGGCTCATTGAAATACAGCAAAAGTCCTTGATGAATTTTGGAGTATTTCATTTTTTTTTCCCCTCTGGCAAGAGAGAGACAAACATCCAATTGCTCATCTCTATGCACTGGCCGTTGTCAGGTCTGGGGTCCCCAAGGAAAGGGCTTAATTGCTCCATAAGCTTCCCATTCAAGGCTCCTCAGTGCTAAGCTCCTGCCGAACTGCATGAAGGTAAAAATGACAAAGATAGCAAGTGACACATTTATCAAATATGCAGATTCTGAAGAAGTCAATGTGGGTTGCTCTCGCCAGTGAGGCTGCAGATGGAACCCGCTCTCCCGCAGCCCTCCCACCCAACTTAAGGTCACAGGAAAGGGTAAACTCAAAGCAAGCTGGGTATTCAACAGGGGTGTGGACTAACTACAGAACCCATGCTTATTCTCCAAGGTCATCCACCTCTGTGTTCTCTCCCCCTGAAAATGTTCTAAAATTTTATCAATCCCTGGCAAACAAATATATTTTTTTTTTTTTTGCTTGTGTTTTTGAGACAGGTTCTCACTGCAGCCCGAGCTGGCTTGCTTCATACATGAGGCAATCCTGCCTCGGTCTCCCAAGTGCTGAGGTTACAGGCATGAGTCACCATGCTGAACGTTGGACAGCAAGGGTGACTTGACTGTACAGAGTCATTCCCAAGTGACAGCTCCCCAGAGCAAGATTTCAACAGCGGGCCCGCTCTGGTCCATGCATGCATACACATTTATCCAGTTTCTTTGGTAATATGAAATGAGTTAATATCATGAAGATTTGGATCTATAAGTTAACAGGCTTACGCTGAGACACTACCGTTTCCTGGCGATTAGTTTTGATTGCCGATTCGATCCGATCGACCAATGCCTAGTGAAGTAGACCTCTCTAGGTGTGCCTCTGATGGCATTCACTGTGGCAGTGGATCATGAGGGCTCTGACCCCATGAATATCCATTTGATGGATGAGACTGTGATGAAATATAAGACATGGTGAAGGTCAGGAGGTGGGCTGGATGGAAAAAGTAGGACACTGGGGCATGTCCTTGGGGGCTATTTCTTACCTTATTAAATTTTTTCTGTCTCCTGCGCTCAGCTTTCTATCCACCAAGAAGTAAGGAACAACTTCCACAATGTTTTCTTACCCCGTGATGCTCTGCCTAGACTCAGGAGACACACACTGTCCCCTCGACAGTATAGGCAAAAACAATTCCCAAACTGTTCTGTCAAGTTTTTCAATACTTCTTATCATTCATTAAAAATGTATTATAATTTTTAAATAAAAAATTCACCCACTAAAATTAACCATCCCCCAAAGTCTATACGCATCAATGAACATGGACTAGAAATGACTTTATTTCCAGTTTCTCTAGGCTCCATTCTGACAAAGAAGCCATGTGGGCACTCTCATGTCCATTGCTATACCACTCACAAGGGCCACAATGTAGAAATGCCCTAAGTGTCCGCTGAGAAGCGACTGTATACACAACATGTAGCTTAAATGCCCCACGGAGTACCCACCAGGAAATTCTGCACACACCGTAACATGGATGAACCTTGAAGGCATCCTGCTGAGGGAAATATGGTCGACACAGAAAGACTCCATAAGTCTAAATACACAAGGTATTTGAACTGATCATGTTCATAGGATGAGAGCAGAATGGTTAGTACCAGGGTTTAGGGGGAGGAGGGAGTGGTTACCTATTACTATAAAGGCATACGGTTTCCACCAGGATGCATAAGCTCTAGAGATTTGCTGTCCAACATCACCCATATCATCAATAACACACTTAAAGATCAGTAAGGATGCATTGCAATATAGCACAGTGGTAGAGTTCTTGCCTAGCTGGGCTTAATCCCCAGAACTATAAATTAGTTAATATGGTAGATAATTCTTTTTACTATAATTCAATTTTATTTAAAAATTAGGACTTAAAAGTCTGAAGGTAGTAAGGATAAGGCTATGGCACAATACCAATGCTTTCTTGCTAAGTATATCACTTGGTGTGGTTTTGGAGAGCAAGCTGGTATTAGCTAAAGCAGTTGAGACACTGTGTGTGTGTGTGTGTGTGTGTGTGTGTGTGTATTTCAGCAGCTGATACATATGCATGTGTGCGTATGTGTGCATGTGTGAAGGCCTACAGTTGATGCTGGGTGTCTTCTATTGTCACCTTATGTTTTGAAAGGAAGGACCTCTGAACCCAGAGTTCAACAATTGGTAAGGCCTGCTGACAGATGAGCTCAGGAATTCACCTGTCTCCGTCTCCCCAGCACTAAAATCACAGGTGTGTGCCGTCATACCCAATGTTTAGGTGGGTGTTGAGGATCCCAGCTTAGGACCTTCTGCTCGGGCATCATGATACTAATGTCATAAGAGCCAAGGCCGAAGTAGCTTTTTTGGAGAGGAGAAGGTTGATGAAAGGATTACATAGTCAGAGTCCTGGGGATGGTACCAGGAGACGGCAAATCAGTGGTTCTCAACCTGTGGGTCACGACCCCTTTGGAGATCACATAGCAGATGTCCTGCATATCAGACACTTACGTTATGATTCACAACAGTAGCAAAGTTACAGTTATGAAGTAGCAATGAAGTAATTTTATGATGGGGGGGTCAGCACAACATGAGGACCTGTATTAAAGGGTCGATGCCTTAGGAAGGATGAGAACCATGGCTATAAATGATCTATTTCTTTGCGAGGATATGCCATGTTTTATTAACTAGGGAAACACTCAGAATCCATGGGTGCCGATACTCTATTTAGAAGTTTGAAGGGTGCGCTAAGACTCATCCATTGGCGACCTTGGCTGGGGAACGAGCGGCTTTGTTCACTGCTAAGTCCCTAGCCTCTTGAACCGTGTTCGGCAGTTTTCCTAAAGAATGGATCTTCTCAGATACGGGAACCATCTGTGCTTCCCTAGCCAAAGAGGAACGTGTTAAGAAAGCTGAGAGAAGGTCTTGGGCTCCCTGGATCTTGGAGCCTCTCCAGATTTAGATACCCGACTGGGGATTCAGTCAGCTAGTCAGTAGGGAACCCTACTAAGATAAATAAATCTCTTTTTATTATTACATTAACATTATTTTGTGTGTGGGAGGTGGGGTGGGGTGGTGGTGAGTATGCCGTAACATACAAGCAAAGACCATAGTACAACCTGCAAGAGTTGGTTTTTCTCTCTCCATCATGTGGGTTCCAAGGATCAAATGCAGGTCATCAGAGTTTGGGCAAGCACCTAAAACAACAACTAAAAAACAGTAAAGATTTTAGGTCTCAAAAGCTATTAGGTGCCTGTCCCATTCACGCAATTGTAACAGGAAGACAGCTATAAATAGTTGTGACACTCAGAATGTAAAATGTCCCTCGTAAGCCCTCGTGTTTGAATACTTGGTACCCCTGGGGATGCTGTGTGGGGAGGTTGTGGAACGATGAGTAGGTGGTGCCTCATTGGAGGAAGTCATCACTGGAGGTTGGTGGCACAGTTGACAGCTGACCCTTCTTCTTGTCGTGTTTTTTTTATTCTGGTCCACTGAAAAATAAGCAGGCAGCTGCTGCACACTCCAGATGTCATAGAAACACCCACTACCAGGTCTTCTCTCCTGCCATAACAGCCCTTAAAACTCCGAGCCAAAGCAAACCTTTCCTCTCTTGAGTTCCTTTAGGGAAGTATTTAATCAGTGACCAGAGGGGTAACATACATCAACACAGCTGAGCACTGAAACGATTTCTTTTATCCAAATCCGTGGCTCTGCCTACAGTTTTCTTTCCCATGGTTCCTCAACTGTATTGCTCACCATAACTCAACCTGAATGATGATGTTCTCAGTGCTCTGAAGGGTGGCTCTAAGTGTGGTCTACAGCCCCGCAGCATCCCTGTTACCTAGCAACCTGACAGCGACACAGAGGCTCAGGACACATCCCCGAATCAGAAGCTCTGGGAGTGGGGCTCAGCCCTCTGCTCTGAGAATCCATTCGGGTGATTCTGATGTATATTCAACTTTAAGGATCACTGTTAACCAACTCTAGCAGGCCTGGGTGTCCAAACTTTTGCCATTGTGAAAGCTGATCATTTACAGTATGTTGGGCTGCAGTTGTAGCTATCCTGGGACGTCTGTGGCCTGTGGACCACAGGTGGACACACCCAGTAACCAAGGAAGCATCTTTCGGTTTGCTACAATGGAATGGGATTTCTCCATCACAAGGACTGGTTTAGGAGGAACCCACTCCAGGGTGTACAGGGGTATTAGCCAATCAGAATGGGTACAAACCCAGTGCCTTGAGGGGCCTTTCTCGTACTAGACATGGACGCTTTCCATGCTGAGGGCACTGGGAGAGGATCTTGAGAGGCCAGGACTAAGGAGACACATACATCTGAGACACAAATAGCCATGAGGTAGAAAAGTAGCTATTTGCCAATCGAGTGTTTCAATATTTGAACAACTGGCTCAGCTGCGCCAGTTCATGCTAGCTGCAAAAATGCCCTAGGTCAAGTGACAAAAGCCTCAACACTTAACTTCATTTAACTCTGCTCCGCTGTGGCTGTGTAGAATTGGGGGGGGGGGGGGAGGGTCCATAAGACATCAACCCAAGGCCAGCGCATCCCAGAGAGGAGCGCGCAGCTAAGGGAATCAGAAAGCACTGGTGGTGCCTCCATGAATGGTCACCCCCAAGATACACCCGACTTCCAGGCAGACCATTTACACGTCCCAGTTTGCACGGAATTTTCTAGTGTCTACATGTGAAGCTCTGTATCTGAAGAAAAGCCCAGATAGGTACCCCAAAATAGTGTTCCCAAGAGCAATGACCTAATGTTCCCAGCTCCGGAAGTTCTGAAGAGCCTGCCCTCTGTTCTTGGCGGTCCAGGTGCAGCTCGGCTAGGATCCCTCTGCCCCAGTTGTGTGTTGGGCGGGCCACGGTTCTTGTTTATTAGTGAAGGGCATCTGATCAGAGAGGCCCGCCTGACAAGTTCATTACATATCAATTTAATTAGCTGATTTACATTTAATTTACATTTCAATTAATGTCTTTAGCAACAAAACGCTGCCTTAATAGGGTAATTGCCTGTTAGGCAATATGTAAAAGAATAAATAGTCGCATTCTGAGGAAGAATTCCTATTTTCAATTTTTTATTACCATAAATAACTGAAATAATTATTGCTCTTATGGGCCACGTCCTCATTTCCTTCTGGGCCTAATTATAAAGACTTAGTACCTCATTAAGCAAAATGGTTTTGGAGTCACAGAAAAATATTCCTCTGATCGTGACTCATTAGTTTCAACAAAAGAGGGGGAAACTGTGCTGGAGAGACAGCGGCTCAGGTCCTTAAGAGCCACCCGGAAGTGATAGTAAGGGTGGCTTGCAGCGCGTACCTGTTTGGGAGGCTGGTGTGCGGGGTATTCCGACCATCTGCTCCAAGTATTCCTAAGGACAAGGAACTCACTGCCTCCTGAGGCAGACGTTACGGACTGCTAAGGGTTTTTGTTTGTTTGTTTTTTGTTTGTTTGTTTGTTTTCCATAAGACAAACTCTGTCCCTCTCCTAAAGACAGTTATAGCCATTTCCTGGTAGAAAAGGTGTTTTCTAGCAGTGTCCTAAGAGAAGCCGGCAGCTATGTCAGAGAATGACACAGGGACAGAAGTGATAATTTGACCAGTTCAAATTTCCTAGAGATGGGGAGGTTGAAGCGGTCTTAGGAATTCAACAGGAATAAGCAGACAAACGGGGTACACTAAAGAAGGTGGAGGGTAGATTCGGCTGTGTGAGGTCTGACAGCGTCACAGCGCAAATTAATCAGGCTTAATGCTTTGAGAGTTCTCTATGTTTCTTCCGGGAAGCAGAATTCCGAAAACCTGCAAAAGAGCAAATGCTGAAAATGTCTGCGCCTCGGGGCAGGCTTCTCCTGTCCTCCCTCAGTCTCAGTCTCGGCAAACCACCCTGGTCGCTTGTTCTCAGCAAAAATACACATTCTCTTTTTCTCTAGTGTTCTGCTGTGCTGCCGCTAGACTAAGCACAGTGCCACCTCGTGGAATCAAGATGAAACTGCAGGAGAGGAACGAATACGTCCTTTTGGATTTTATTTAGACAATAAAACCAATGTAGTGCCGACTCAAAAAAGAAGCAATGGCTGCCAGGGCCATTCAATGAATAAGAGAAGGGTGACTTTGTTAATTAAAAAAGAAAAAAAAACTGGTTTTAAAAAGGAACACATTCCCCCCCCCCCCCCCTCCCCCCCCCCCCCCTAATATTTTGAAAGCGTTCGGGCCTGTCTCTCTAGTTCAGACCAGTTAGTCCATGTCAGCTCTTAGGAAAGAAAAGCACATGTTCCACATTTCATATTACTAAGTCAAATTTCTAAGATTTCTTTTCACGTTTCCCACCCTCTTCCCACTAAACCCCTTAAGTTTTCAGATCCACTCCGGTCTGGAAGCTCTCAATCTGCAATCTGAAGGACGAAAGACAGAGGATGGCAGGAGTTCCTGTTACCAGCAGGGGGCGCTCGCAACTTCTGCTCCTGATAGCTCTTTTCTCCTGTAGACTTAGAGCAGGAACTAAGCACTCCCAGGCCCATCCTTTTTTATAGGAAGGGATTTTGAGCACTCTATTCTACATGAAAGTCACACAAAATAAATAATTGTATAATAAACTTTCAAAACATGTAATATTCTAATACACAGGAGAAATAAACTGAGTGTAATATGCAAGAGAATAATTTGCATGTCTGCATCTAAATCACACGACAAGATGGCTTAAAAAGATATAATGAGCAGTAGGGATAAATCCTGGTCTCACTGCCATACAACTCACTATGGCCCCATAGTCTGCCCCAGCCATACAACTGTCACCCACATTCAGAGGGTCTCGTTTGTTCCTATGCTGGTTCCCTTTTCTGTCAGGCCAGAGTTGGTGGGCTCCCCATTAGCTCAGGTAAACAGGTAAACTGTTTCAGTGAGTATCCTCATCATGGTCTTGACCTTTTTGCAAGTGTTCTTATTTCTTTCACTCTTCGACTGGACTTTGGGACTCAGCCCAGTGCTCCGCTGTGGACCTCTGCCTGTGCTTCAATTTTCCTGCCTCAGAGCAATTTGTTAACTCCTCATGGGAAACCTTACCGACTCTGAGGAGTGGATTGGGGGTAGGATTGGGAGGAAGGTGAAGGGGGCAGGAGAAGGGGAGAGAGTGGGAACTGGGATTAGTATGTAAAACGAGAAAAGAGAGTTCTTTTTTTAAAAATAATTAATAATTTAAAAATTAAAATAAGATATAATGAAACCTGTTGTCTCTGCGGAGGCGTGAAGATCCCTTGGACCCAGGATTTCTTGTCCATCCTATGATTTTTGCACATGTGTGTGAGCACACACAGACACACTGGAAAACATTAAGCAGACTTAAGGAAGTAGTGCACACACACTTTCGCCTCTTCCTCTGATTTCCGGATTGAGAACTGCAGATGCTGCTGACTCTGTGCTAAGCATTCTGAACTGTGGAGTAGTTCTTGATAGAGCTTTGAGCAAAGCAGTATCTCAGTTTTGATATTGAGAAGACATCTCAAAATATGTCTTCTCTTGATTTAGAAGGAAACAGTATTTCTGGAAAACACTTTTATTAACCATGGGGAGAAGACTCTGTATGTGTGTGTGTGTGTGTGTGTGTGTGTGTATGTGTGTGTACGCACGTGTGTGCATACACACATGTGTTTGCGTGTAATGTAGGCTACCCACTCAGGTATTTTATAAGCCAGTATTTCACTTAAAAGTAAAGGGACAGAGTTTGGGGGTGCTGCATTATTCTTGGCTGCATGGCTGCATGGGTGCATGGGGTTGCCCTGACAGCAAGGATGTTTCCCAAGCATCAGGAAGCTCTCATGACCACTATCTCCAAATGGCCCACTCATTTCTGAAATGCCAACAGGGTCAAATCAGCCTCATGGATTCACTTCCCCAGAGCGATACCAAATTTGTCTTTGCTTCCCTTCCGTAGAGACCCAGCTCCAAGAATTTCTGTCATGGTCCCCAATATCCCACCTTACTCACACCAGTGTCCACAGTCACTGGGGGACAGGTCCTGTTGTATACCCCCAGAGGGTCCTGTCGAGACAGATTATCTGGATATCTGAATCATCCAGGGTATCCTCTCTCTCCATAGATAGTGCAAACTTCTGACTTCAGCAGATCATGTGGGGAATAGTAGCCCCATGGACTACTGTATCCCATGAGACTAGTGTCCCAGCTCAGTATCATGACACCATATC